AGATAGATAGATAGATAGATAGATAGATAGATAGATAGATAGATAGAATTGAAGCACTTTTTGCTTAAAGACTTTTTGTTTGCTTTTCTGTTGCCTTAGAAAGTGTCTTTAATTACCAAGATTAATGGCATGTGCCTATAATCTTAGCACTGGGGATAATGAGGCAGGAGGAAAGCTGAGAATGAGACCAGCACGGCTTAAGCAGGTACCAAAAGTATATATAACAAGAATATGTCTCAAAACATGTGAAAAATAAAATCCTCAATTATCAAACAGAATGTGCAGTAATAGACACAACTTACCTTTAAGTCAAATAATCTCATGATATGTCTATACCTTCTGGGATTAGCAGATCTCTAACTAGACTGCCCTAGTTACGCACTATTAGCAAGCTTTGACAAAAGCTTTTCTTAGGTGTAGGGGGGGGGAGGATGGAAGGAAGAGGGAGAGAGGGTGGGACCTGGAAGAGAGGAGAGAGGGGGCTATGATTGCAATGTGAAGTGGATAGATAGATAGATAGATAGATAGATAGATAGATAGATAGATAGATAGATATTTTTTAAAATATTCACTTCTTCCCCCAAAGAGCATGAGATTCTTTGAAAATGATCACTAAAATAAACATGCTATTAGTGTCTAAGAAAAAAAAAATGTGCTCAAGCAAAAACATCATCAACATTCTCGTAGCACATTTAAATTTCAGAATATTCCCTTTGTGGTATACATAATGCATAGGCCTTTAAGTGTGAATGTCATTAACATTTTAGGATTAACTTTTTCTGAGAAACCCAATTTAGTAATTCTTTATATTTCTTCTCTCAAAAAACTTTAAACTAATTCTCATTATAAATTATGTATGATAGCAAAGTGTGGTGGCTCAAGCCTGTAATCCCAGGATTCTGAGAGGCAGAGACAGGTGGATCACTGTGAGTTAGAGGACAATCTGGTTTACAAAGTCCAGGACAGCCAAGTCTACACAGAGAAACCCTGTCTCAAACAAATGAAGTATGTTGATAAAGCAGTTTTAAAACAGAAGTGTTTCCTCACTTCATTTTATCAACTTGACACAAGAATTATTCAGGAAGAGAAACCTCAGTTGCAAACATGCTTTATCCTGCTGTCTGTAGGCATGTCTGCAGAGCATTTTTTTGATTCATGGTTGGTGTGAGACAGGCCACGGTGAGTGGTGCCACACTTGCTCTTGGGTTGAATAAAGAAAGCAGACTGAGCAAGCATCCCTCCATGGTCTCTATTTCAGTCCCTGCTCAGACCCCGTTCCATGATGATAGACTGAGATGTAGACATGGAAGCCAGATACACCCTTTCCTCTCCAGGTTACTTTCAGTCAAAGCTGTCATCATAGCAATAGAAACCCTAAGACAGAAAGTAAGTGGACAAGGGGGTATACATAATCCCGTGCGTAGGGTGCACAGCTGCCTGATGGATTTCAAGTACTCTGTTTTCTATGTAGCCTTTGGGATTTAGTTTCTAAATTGATGACCATTTTCTGGGTCAAATTGTATACTCTTTGCTTAACATTTGCTACCAGTATAACTTTCGGATTTCAATTCAAACAACTGATACTGAAAGAAAAGGTTGTTTTTTTTTTATGTTGTTTTTGTGTTGTTTCCTGATTCACCTATCCTGTTCAAATTATCAAGTCATACACTTTGGAGTCTTGCTTAATTTTCAATACCCACAGTCCCAGTTACATTCATCGTAGACTCCATTACCTAATCTGCTGTGTGTTGTGGATGTGTCTGCTCCTGACAGCTGGCGTTCCTTTATAATCTATCAGCATTAGCATATCCTCCACACATGCCACTCTTCAAAAGTAATTGATCAAAATATAGGAACACTCTTCATTGTTAAGCTTACGTGCAAGTCAGTTACTATGCCTCAGGCTGTAGTCCCAGAGACACTGGGACCCAAACGTGACTTAAGCACTATCACAATTTTTTTTAAATGAAAATATACACGATACTAGAATTGCTCTGTATTTTATATATACCATGTCTTACTGAACAGCATAGGCCACACTTTCAAACTTCCTTCGTTGTATTTTTTTTCTCATCAGATTTCAGAATGTCTAACTCAAAAAAAAAAAAAATTTCCATTATGCTATAATTCATGAAAAGAAGGGTGATGGCTCCAATTAATTTCCACTCAGAAGGCTCTTGTTTCTTCACTGATTCCATATCTATCCATCCTATAACACAATAAACTCCAGTACCAAGGAGCATAAAAATGAGATAACATTTGTTAATATTCTTTTGGGTAGAAGTAAGAGATAGTTAATAATAATGTATGTTTGTTAATGGAGCAAATAGACAAAGTGGAAAATCTACGTATGGGAAATAAATATCATCTTTACCTAAGTATTTTTCTTTGCATCTTTATGTTCTTTTTCTATATTACTAGTTCTTGCTAATACTAATATTTTTAAGCAACAGAAAACTCACTTTATGCCTTAAAATGTGAACAAACCATTAGCCTGCAAATTCCATGATTTCCTTGTTTTTAATTGCTGAGAAGTATTCCATTGTGTAAATGTACCACAATTTCTGTATCCATTCCTCAGCTGACAGACATCTGGGTTGTTTCCAGATTCTGGCTATTATGAATAAAACTGCTATGAACATGGTTGAGCAAATGTTCTTGTTGTGTACTTGAACATATTTTGGATAAGAAAAAATCATCTGGAGTGAGGTATCCCAGAAGCAGAAAGACACACATGGTATATGCTCACTTATAAGTGGATATTAGACATATAATATAGGATAAACATACTAAAATCTGTACACCTAAAGAAGCTAAGCAAGAAGGAAGAATCTGAGTAAGATGATCAATCCTCACTCAGAAAGACAAACAGATGTACATGGGAAGAGGGAGAAAACAGGGAACAGGACAGGAGCCTACCACAGACGGCCTCTGAAAGCCTCTACTCAGCAGGATATCAAAGCAGATGCTGAGATAATGGCCAAACTTTGGGCAGAATGCAGGGAATCTTATGAAAGAAGGTGGAGATAGAAAGATTGGGGTTTGGGGGCAGCAGCTCCACAAGGAGAGTAACAGAACCAAAAATCTGGGGCCAGGGGTCTTTTCTGAGACTGATACTCCAATCAAAGACCATTCATGGAAATAATCTAGAACCCCTGCACAGATGTAAATCATGGCAGCTCATTATCCAAGTGGTTTCCCTAGTAATGGGAACAGGAAATGTCCCTGACATGAACTCTGTGGCTGGCTCTTGGATCACCTCCCTCTGAGAGGTGAGAACAGCCTTACCAGGCCACAGAGGAAGATGATGCAGCCAGTTCTGATGAGACCTGATAGGCTAGGGACAGAGGGAAGGGGAGGAGGTCCTCCCTTATCAGTGGACTGGGGAAAGGGCATGGGAGGAGATGAGAGAGGAAGGGTGGGGTTGGGAGGGAATGAGAGAGGGGGCTACAGCTGGGATACAAAGTGAATGAATTTAATCAATAAAAATTAAATTAAAAAAATAAAAAAATCAATTAATTAGAAAAACAAATATATATAAAAACGTGAACAAACCAAGAAATTGAGGCAGCTATTTCAAGAGTTCAAAGCTCTTCTCATGTCAGACAGCCGTGCTTTGGGAGGATAGAGTCGGCCCACTTGGGTTAAAGTTTTCCTTACTGCAGCGACAGTGGCAAGTCTGGAACTCTTCCACTGAGTACGCTTGGAGAGAAATGGCGGTCTCTCTGAACTGTAGGTTAACTACCCTCAGATAACCCGCCAAGGAGACGGGATGCCAGCTCCACAGCCAGGCTCAAGTCTGTCAGTAACCAATTGTTGCAACTTTGTCACCTTTCCATAATTCCCCCAATGCCACATAAACAGCATTCAGAAGGGTTTCCCTTGGTCAAAACAAACAAAACAAAACAAGTACTTCTTGTCACTTCCTTTTTTTTTTTTTTTTCATGAGTAGAAAGATATACAGCTAGGGAGTATTCTAGAGGGGTTTCCTCTTGACTTTACAAAGCAAGCTTTTCAATTTGTCAGGAATTTAACACTCTTGAATACAGTAGTATATAATACATTTTAAGACTTTACAAAACACAAGCTTCAGCTTTAATGGGAAACATTTTATTTGCTCCATACTTCTCTGAACTTGTGTTACACTGAAGCTGTCTCATTATTCTGATAGCTTGGGGCCAGATAGTACTAGCACCTAAGGGCAATACACCCTGTGTGATGTTACTATCTATAACATTCCAATTACTTTCTTCAGGTGATTCTCTAAAAGATTATATATTTAATAATTTAAAAACCACAGGAATGTAAAAGAGTAAATTGGGAATAAGTAATCTGAGGTCCTTTCCTCCACAACACAAGACAGATGATGGTTACTATAACTTTTATGCATAATATTTTGGCTTGCATAAAGCAGAAGAATCTGGAAAGAATTCCCCAAACTTTTTGATAAAAATGTGTAAGGTCAGAGTTCAGCAGAAGGAGCAATCAGACTGGAATGAAGGGATTTCCGTCTGGACATACCCCTTCCAATCACCAAGAAGCAGGGGCTAGAGTGAGCGATAATCAAGTGAGCATAGTATGAGGCTGTCCATCTTCAGGGTCACAGGCATGCTGGAAAGTTAACCTGAAGGCTAGCACACTGAGACTGTTGAACGCAGTCCCTCGGAAGTAGCAACTGATCTCAACAGAGACAGAAACACATGCCATCTGAGGAAGTCAGCTCCAGTTCATGCCAAAAGAAATCTTACAGAACACGTGCAGGCTTTAACGTTCCCAGATAAAGAAAGAGCCACAAATGGCAGGTAATAGAAACATAGCTACAGACAGGAAAGACCAATAGAATCAATAAAGGATGGAAATAACTATGTGTGAATTTTTTAAAAGGCAAAGGCAGTGATACAAAAAATGAATAGATAGCAAAAGGCTATCAACAAAATTTTCATAGGAAATTTTCATAGGTGATGAATACAAAGAGAATTTAGAAGAAAATATTAAAAACAATAATTCAAATATTGTCTTAAAGCATATTTTTAGATGTCACAGTGTTTCTAACCCTGCGGTGTTTTGAACTGGAATGTGTAGAAACTATATGGCATCTTGCAGTAGATGTGATGGAACTATCTAAGAGAAGGAGAGAGTTGTGAAAGTAGGTTAGAAATCGGCTCAGCTGGTGACATTGAGGAGCAAAATTGTGACAAGTGGAAAGTGTTTCTTTCTGTGTCCTCTGTCATTTATCATACAGTGAAGACGGTTTGATTTCTCCTCTCAGCCACCAATCAAAGTGCTGCCCCAGGTTTCTTTAACTTCAAGAACAATAGGGAAGAGAATATAGCTATTAACCCAGATAAACGATAGCTGCTCGTTAGAGAGGAAGAGTGTGAATTCAGTTGGTGACTGCATCACTCAGTGGTTAGCAGACTCGTGGAGCTCTGTAACGTCACTACACTCAAATGTTCACGTTGGCAGAATGGTGATACAGGCCACGGTGTACAAAGAGGACCTGCTACTCTCGTGCTTAATGAACAGAAAGATCCCCCTTCGCTTCCTCTACTGGAAGAGAAAATCAATCTTATTAAATGTTACGAATTAGAATCAGGTGTACGGTACTGCAATGTATTACATTCATTTATTATGGCTGTTGAGCTAATGTGTAGCTTTGACTCTATTTGTGAAGATGTTTGGTTATATAACTTGGCAGAAGAAATCCACTGACAGGTAAATATAAATTCAAATTTAATTTATTTTAAAAATCAAATTAGTCATTTTCTTATAGTAAATGAAGAAATTAAAATACTATGTTGCATTCTCACAATTACTCATATCATAAATTCTTGAGAAGATTAATATTCTATCTATATTACTCGAAAGCACCGTTTTTCAAACGGCACAGTTTTGGGCCCATTTCTATCGTGGGTCAACAATAAGAACATACAATACTATTTTACCGCTGATATTTAAAAACAAGCCATTTGGTTGCGGTTCGGCACAGAAGGTTCTTTTCCCCCATTCAATCACTGAGGACTAGCAGGGTCTGTGACTCACCTGTTGAAGTGCAAGGGTGTTGGTATTCTCCTGTGCACGGTGGCACTGTCTGGTCTCCCATGATCTTTCTCAGACTCAGGGTTCTTTTTTTCGGGGAGAGGACAAGGGAGGAATACAGTGACTGGCTTCTGAAAGGAATGAGTTGATGGGTGCTGGACGTGGATAAGGGGGCTCGTGGACAGTACTGAATATGAGAGATCTTGATGGGATTTTAAATGTAACAGCAGAGAAGGGTCAACTGGCTGGATCTAAACAAAGATGAAAAAACATGTCCATGTCCATTGATACGCACTCAAACACACATATACACAAATACATTCAGAAGATGCAAATATTACTACATCCCTATCAGAACAATTTCTGAAAATTTAGGGAATGCATCTGTATATGCTTCTCTGTAAATTCCTGCCTGTAAATAAAATGGCCTATATAAAATCATGCAATTGGGTAAAATCTCTTAAAACGTGGTTTCCTTCCCATACACAAACTCACTCACACACACATGCACACAAACATGTTGAAAAATAAGACTATATTTACATCAGTTCCTCTCACATAAGAATGGTTAATAACAAAATGATTACGTAATTCAAAGTTTATAGAAAATATTTGTTAATGAAATATTATAATTAGTCTCTATTCCCAACCTCTCTCCTTGACTTTCTATTTGTGATAAGAACTGAAAGAAATAGAAAAGAGAGAATGGGAAAGACAACGATGGAAGGATAAGAAATATCATTGGAAAAATAAACCTTCTGGCATGTACACTGATATAGTAATATACATTATTAAGAACGATGTTTGTGTATATTAAATCCTCATTCCAAGAAAGCTATTTTTTTTTTTTTTAGTAAGTAGAATCCAAAAGTCATGGCAATCAACATTTGAATTTACCATTAGCTTTTTATTTTTCCAACGCTTCATGTGGAAATCTGGATTTATATAAATGCCCCCAAATCTGTCAGTCATTGTCTTGTTCAACATATGCTTGCAAGCAAATATAAACAAGTAATGAAAAAGACTATGTAGGAAATCCTTGCAAAGAAAAGCATCTATGTGCTTTTCAGAATGTGCTCAAAATGCTGATTACATCATTCAATTCACTGGAGAAGATTCCAGGTACAAGAAAGGATTAGCTTTATGGCTACATGAAGGACCTGCATCCTCTGCACTTTAAGACCATGTGTGACCCACCAGACAGAAGAGCTAATCAACTTCCCTTTTTAATGTTTACCTTCAATTGTACAAGCACAGGCGAGCTGAAAACTCCCGCAGGGTAACAGAAGGATATCCGGGCATCCATGCTTGACTTCAGAGTAAGCCCCTTTCTTGTCACTGTGAAAGACTGCTTTTTCAAACAAGACACTACAGAAAACATTCCCAACTTGTAAACATTCACTGCAGCACAAGTTCCCTGTGAGGAGTAACAGATACTGCAATGGAGCAAGCAGTAGCTGCTCTGGAGAAGTACGTTTACCGTACATATTCTAGTAGCGCTGCTCTGGGGAAGTACGTTTACCGTACATATTCCGCAGCTGTCAAAGACAAAACAACGAAAGCGTGCACACCATCCGTAGCCACCCACAGTGTGGAGCACCACAGTCACGGAGCATGATGGCTCCTTCTTGAAGCAAAGGTTAAGTAGACGAGATTTTCTAAAGCTTGGGCTTCCCAGCAGAGAAGTGAGAGATAAATTTTATTTTGTAACTTACATTTAATCCTCACTCATGCATCATAGGTAGTCATAGTATCTTCACAATTTTAATTGCTGCTGGGATCCTAGACAACTTTGGCTAAAATTATATATATATATATATATATATATATATATATATATATATATATATATATATATATATATATATATTGGCTAGAATGAATTTTATATATAATTTTTTCTAGAAGTTTCTATGCTATTTTATGGAATTCAAAGGAATAGAATTTTATTAGTTGGGCATTTTGCTCTAACATTGTAGCGTAGGTACTGTCAGAAAAACTCTTCCTTCTGACAGTTCACAACATCTTCAGATGCTACAATAAAGCCACTGTCTCTTTCTTTCTGCAGTGCAAACAGAATTACAGAGTAATGCACTGTTTCTTTCTTGAGCCTTTATATTCAAACAAATAATCATATACTCAGCCACATACTCAACAGTTTTTATCTTGTAAAATGCGACCAAGTCCACGAACGAAAGCAAAATGATCTACGTGTACAATCACCGATGCTTCCAAGGAGGAGGCAGAGCACGAAGCAGTTTGCTCTACACAGGCGTCCCTAAGTACCAGGTGGACACCCCCCCCCCCCCAGCGTGAGTGGCTAACAGCATATGCACACACACAAGCATTTCAGGCTTATTCACAGTGGAAAATAAGCTATCATTTGAGAGCTAACTAAGGGAAACATTTCACAATATCACGGTTGGGAAAATTCTGAGCACAAAGATCCTTCTTCAGTGGCCAGAGGGAATGGAGGGAGAAGAAAAGGTCTCCTGGGAACAAGCCACGGTTGCTGGGCACTGAGGCCACACTTGGCAGATACTAGGGGAAACTAAAAAGGCTTTTGAGACTTAGAATGCTTAAATGTCATAGAACCCACATAAAACATGGGAATGCAGCCAGAACTCAAATGTTCTTGAGCTAAAATTAGAGATAAGTCTCATTAGCCTACAATGTAAAGAAAAGGACAGGTTTTTAGTAGACAATGAACCTCTTAATTTTCCTTGTGTCTTGATTATTCATTCACAAAACATCTTTCAAGCCTATCTGGGAAAGGCGCTTGCACTGTGAGCAGTTTCTAAAGTCCTTGCTATAAAGGACACACAGACTTGCCAGGCTTCAGAAGCCTACTCTAGAGCAATGCTAATCAGAATTTCATATTCACAGGCAGCTAAATCTAACAAGTATCAGTTGCATGAATAGAGGTGAAAGGCATAGAGTTAGCTTTATTAGTCAACTATATGAACTCATTTTGATTTGTAAACAAACCAAAACGGCAGAATATATTATGAAGATTTTAATATGTATTTAATATGTATCAAATAACAAATATTTGCATGTGAAAAGATGAACAGCTTAATTGGTTAAAAGTAAGTATAGTAGCCCACAGAAACCCTTAACTTGAGTCCTCATCCACTCTATAATCCTAAATTTTATAATTCTGTATTCTGTCGCAGCAACATTTGAATCTGTGAAATAGAGAGCTTGTATTATTATGACAATAAAGTCTGTTTCAAATAGTGATAGCTCATTAACAACTCACTTATATAAAGGCTTTTTCCCCACCTTCTTAAGTGGCTTGTCTATTTAATCTTTGCATTCTAATCAGGAACACATTATTATATTAATTTTTCAAAAAATTTTGTATCACAGGAGAGATTTTTTTTTTAATTTTTTGAGTGGTGGCAGTTTAGACAATGATTCTCTGTGTAACACCTCTGGCTGTCCTGGAACTCTCTGTGTAGACCAGGCTGGCCTTCACACACATGGAGATCAGCCTGCCTCTGCCTTCCAAGGAATTAAAGGAATTGACACCACACCCAACCAGAGAGGTGTTTTGACCCACTCATTTTCACACTAAAGACAAATACGGGAGACAGATTTTTTTTTCCCTTACTGTCCAAATCCTAACTATCGAAAGTGCAATCCTCAATGTTTAGACTAAATTCCATTGATAAAATTATGAAAACATGCAAATACACAGTTTTCATTTTATGTATTCTCCCCATCTATGAATAATAAAAAGTAAAACTGTAGCATGTGAAGATTCCAGAGCTTCAGTGTATGCAGCATTCCAACACATTATTTATTATGAAGTTAGTCTAAACCATAGAGTTAATTATGCTATTATGTTGGTTGTTTTCCAGGAGTCCTAGGCCCGAGTCCTCTATTACTAACTTCGGCAAACAATTTTGAGTGTTTGAACTTTATAAATGTTTTTTTGAATGTACCTGTTCTTGTACACAGAACAATTATTATTACAGCATAATATTCTGAATTATCGGAAGAAGAGACAAACAACAAATACAGTTGTACCCGGGTTTACTGACCGTGTAACTTCCCCTCATTCTTTCCAGCGTATGTGGGGTGAGGTAGCTGGACCGGAAGTTGGTGTCAGACATTTTCACCATGAGGTCTCTGTAATTTCCCTTGTAGCGTGCCTTGAATGGAATTGCAATGCATATTGGGAATGGGATTTTCATTTCCATATCTGAGCATTGAACAGTGATTACATTGCTGACCAATTCTTCACCATCGCTCACTATAAAGGAGCTCAGGTTGTTAATTATCTGGCAATCAATCTGCTGTAGGACATGCGATGGCGCTGTAATGTAACAAGAGACTTGAGGGTCAGTCCCATCGTGCAGCAAACCAAGGTACCTGCAGAAAAAAAAAAAAAAAAGCTTCATTTTCCACCTCTTCTGTCCACGTTCTTACAGCCAGATGCACAAAGGTACAACGTGAGGTACATTTCTTTGTTGTGAACTTTAGTTCTCACATTTATTAACTCTGTAATCAAAAAGTCTTTCAACCTCTGTGTTCCACAATTTCCTGTAATATGTAGTGAAAATAATACCTACATCACAGGAAAGCTTTGAGTTAAATATACAGTTCTACAGTTATTATAAGAAACTCTGCCTTCACATTGTAGGGAAGTTACCTGTACTGTATTAAATATGTTAGCTAAGTACATAAGCTAGTTACAGTCGTTTTGACTATCTTCATTATCAAAGTGATTTATTTATTTCTCACTTTTAATCAGCCTATAATAAAATTCAAAGATCAATGATGTTATAAAATAAATTGAGTTTTGCTTAACTGTGAGGAGAGTGAGGCATTTAAGGTGAGATCCTCTAGGAATGCAAGAATGGATTCTTTTTTCTGATGATTTAAAAGTGAAAAGCCAGGAAAAGGAAAGTTTAGCTAATCTTTGTGGAAAGGCAAAGCACACAGGCATGTGCTTGTGTCCCCCCAGAGAGATAGACAGAGAGAGACAGACACAGAGAAAGGCAAAGAGAGCAAGAGAGAGCGAGCAATTGATAGAGACAGAGAGAGAAGGAGAAAGAGAGAACAAAGAGACAGACTGCCAGCGCAGAAGATAATCCGACTCTATATGGTTAGGGGTAGAGAGGATTATATTTCTCCCTCAGAAATTGCTAGTTTGGGCTATTGCAGGGCGGTGGAGAAGCCTGACAATGAAGAAAAGCTAATTGCTTCCTTCCACAGATGCTCAAGAGCCACCCACCGCCTCTCTTGGGAGACTTGAAAATTCTGAACAGTTCCTCCTGGGGAGAAAAAGGCCACCAAATCATCGAGTTGGAGACGAAGAAGAATGAGGAAATTGCCCATCTTAAATGTTCAAGTACAAAGTACATCAGTTTACCCAAAGTCCCTCATTCGCCTGTCTGCTTACTTGCCTGCCAGGGATCTGGATGACTCCTATTCCCTTAGGAGGAAGTGATGAAAGGAGGGGCAAAAATTGTCCACGTCAACTAGTCAATAGTTGAACGCTTTCTGTGGGTTAGGTTCTAGATTATATCGTTTTGTTTAATTTGAGTAGCTTTTGTGTCAAGTACTACTATCTTTACTATTTCACAGAGAGGGAAACTGAGGCTGAGATTTGAACTTGCTACAGGCTTCATAGAAGTTCAGTTTTAGAATAGGCTACACCATGAATCTTTAGTATGGAAGAAAAAGGTCTCAAAATATTGCCATGACTCCCTCAAATCTTTCCTAAGGAATGATCACTCCACCCATTACAACTTGAAACTAATATTTTAGCTATGATTATGGGAAGCTTGAATGAGAAATGATAGCTAAACCTTTTAATAGTAGTGGACCTGAATAGACTGTATGTTCAATAACGATTTGATGCCTACACTAAAACCATTTAGTTGGGGTTCTCCTTTGATGCTATTTATCTCACAACAGAGAAGTAACTAAAACAAAGGCAGTGTTGACAATGAATGAGGGGATCTATGCATAACACAGCATGATTTTTCTCAGTTATATGTTAAAGTTTTGGCTGTTTTCATTTACAATTTGGAGTATAATTTTATAAAGAAATGTGATAAAATGTTTAACTCCTCAAGGTCACTTATTTAAGTACACAATCTTCAACTAAAAAACGGTATCCAGCATGCTGATCTGATTAACTTTCTTGTTTATAAATACAATAATAATTCAATGAAATACAATGATTATTCAACAGGAAATTCAGTGAACCAGCTTCATATAACTTCAGGAATGCTCTCTTCTGTATCCTGGAAACCATCTCAATGCACCCCACCTCTACAAGGTGTGGTTCTGAAATTAAAAATAAAGTATAGAGGAGATTTGTGAATAGATACATTCTCCATAGTACTGATCCAATATGATTAGTCTTAATAAACAGATCACACCAATTTAGTCTTTTCCACCTTTGTGTATACAGCAGTAGAGCTACCCCAAAGGATGGGGCTTTTAGAAAATTAACGTGGGGAACCACAACAGTTTCTGAGCATGGTTTTCTTTATCATGTGTACTTGTATGTGTGTGACGGCTTCCTAGCCTGGGGGACTGCAAGGAAGAGTCATCTTTGTAAATGTGCAAGCCAAGCACAACTGGTTCAATGCCACAAAGAGGAAGTCCTAACCAGGCAACACCTAAAGGAGGTGTCGGAGGGAGTGGTGCATGCAGTGACTCAAGGGCTGGCGTTTTGAGTCATTTCTGAATGGGAGGCTGTGAAGGGCCAATGTTTTTCTCAAATGAAATGGGAAACCACACGTTGACTACTTTAGAAGTTGTTTGTCAGAGGGTGGTAATTCTTTCAAACCATGAAGATCTTCCAAGCATCGAGAGATTCATCTATAGAATTCATGAAATTCTCTTTGTTGTGGGTGCGTTACTTCCTTTTTTCATTTTCATAAAGTCCCGTGGACAGGGTAGGTAAAAGCACTTGCTAAGGCCCTTGCTACAGAACATCCTCTCAGTGCTGCTTTCCTAGGAATGATGTGTGTCTACACAGCAGAGCATCAGCGTGTCATGCAGGTATGGATACTGGTGAACAGCAGTGAGTAGGGGTGGGAGAGTGAGCGGAGCTGGTGATGACATCAAATAGTACGCCAACATTTAGCTGAGTGTGCCCAGTGGCGGAGAAGCCCCACACTAGGCCGTTCTGTTACTGTCTCATTTGCTACCAAACACTCCAAAGAGGGAGATAGCATTCTTACAAATGAATGACTGAGACCAAAAATAAACACACAAATGAAAAGAAAGGAAAAAGAAAACTCGAGGCAAGTTACCCAGAGTAAAATTTTTTTTACGAACTAATCAATAAGAAGAGAGCAAATAAAAATTAATTTTGTCCCACTCCTCAAATATTTTCTCCACTATGTCACATTTGCTAAGGAAATGTTGCATTTACCTGGAAAAATATAGTTTGAAACTATCTAGACAAATCAAGAATTATTGCTACCTTTCAGGAGAGAGATAGCTCATAAAAATACATCAGTCTTTCTCCCTTCCTTATTTTGTGGGCTTTTAGAGAATCTGATAAAAATTCCTGAGAATTTTCTTTTCTTTTTTCCTTTTTTTATAATTTTTATTTTTTATATTAATCACAGGTTATTTACTTTGTATTCCAGCCGTAGCCCCCTCCCTCATTCACTCCCAACCCCACCCTCCTTCCCTTATCTCCTCCCTGCCCCTTCCAGGTCCACTAATGGGGGAGGTCCTCCTCCCCTTCCGACTGACCCTGGTTTATTAGGTATCTTCAGGACTGGCTGCCATGTCCTCCTCTGTGGCCTAGAAAGAGTTCGGTAGGTGTGAACAAGCACTTTTACCTTTAAAAATCCGGCAAAGCCTACCCAGAAGTCCCCTGGAGTTCTGAAGACAAAGTTTAAAGACCGAGACAATTATCTTAGAGATATGCATATGTATGTTGATGATATCACATATATTTATTATTTATATAATCATGTTAGCAAATTGTCTTTTAATGTTTAACATTCTGAAATCACTTTTTTCCTTAAAATTTAATTTTGTTATTTATAAAAGTGTTTATGTTCTGAACAATTGTTTTAACTATTACCATAACTAATTACTTTTCCTTTAAAGCACTACTTAATATTCATGTTTCCTAAAACTCTGAAGAACAAAATGATATTAGCAACAGCAGCCATATAAATTTCTGTGGAGCAATTTTAAACTGAATCACTGATCTATGGTAACTTTTGGAGACCTAACATGAAAATGTAAAACTTCATTGTATATTCCCTCATATGTTGAGATTTAAACACACAGGTGAATGTGTTAGGTCCTGGGGCCTTTGTGAAAGCTGATTAGGACATAACAGCACAATCCTCACAAATGGGTTGGTGTTATTAATAAAGGGACAGGAAGCTGGTTTGCCCCGTATACCATCTGAGAATGCCGAAAGGATGTACCATCCTTTATGAACCATTATGAAGCTTCCAGTAAACAGTGATTCTCCTGTGCCTTGTTTGCTTTGCCTCCAGAACTGTGAGAAATCAGCTTCTCTCTCTCAGTCCAGTTTATGGTAGTTTGTCACAGCAGCAGGATCAAGACAATTAGTAACTAAGGAAAATGGACAGATAAGTAGGCATAGACAGACACTTTCTCATGGTGTTTTTACTTACTCTTTTTCCATTATGTTATTCTTTTGTTTTAGACTCTCTGACTCATTATGAAGGTTACTCCCGTCCTTACTGGAGACATCCCATGCTGATGGGGATGTGGTAATCTTTTCTCTTTGGCTTTCTGAGATCTCTCGATTTTCCCTTGCTGTTGTCTGGATTACATCATGAATGTCTTCCTTGTTGCCATTTATGTTCTCAGCGGTCATGTGTTCTATTTGTTTTTCATCTTCATTTTCTGCATTATCTGGGAACACTGCGCTCTGCGACTCTTCTTGCCCTATTATGTTTCCGCTCAATGATGCATTGTTTTCTTTTGCCCCTAATTCAGAATTTATCTGTGTTTTATTTTCTTTTGACTGGCCCTTGTTTGTGTAATGGCACTCCTCTGCATTTGCAGGAGAAACAGTAGCTGTTTCCATGACATTTAGTTCCCTTCTTGGAGCAATGTCTGTTGCTTTGGTCTCTTGAATGGCTGACATTGTCTGCTGTGGAGTGTGGTCCTCATGCATGCTGCATAAATTACACATCTCTTTTTCTTCTTTCTTTAGAAGCGTAGCGGTGTTCCCCAAATGTGCATTCATTTTCATGAGGCAATCTATGAAAGCAATAATTTCTGCACATGTACACACACAAAGAAGAAGTAAAAACTAAGTCAAATTATGTTTTTGCATAGATGAAGGAGGTATTTGCACAGTTTGCCCTCTTTAAACATTTTAAGAGTTAAAATGAAAGAAAGAAAACTCTACTTTTAACATAGTAGCCAATAAGTGAAACTGATGCATTTTGCCCATGAGTATACTTTAAACTTTATTGACCAATGTGACCATGCCTTCTTCCAAATAAGGATGGAGTCCTCAATCATTTGGTATATTCTGCAGTTTGTTTGTTTGTTTGTTTTTTTCTGTGCCTTAGGAGATACTATACTATGTCAGTTATTCATTTCCAATATCATACATAAGATTATTTGAACACCCCAGGAGAGGTAAATAGCAGAAAGGCAACAGCTGTTATGATGACACAGACACTGTATTTTGGTGGGAAATGCAACCCCCCACACACACCTGCTGAATGTGTGATCATTAAAATCTATCATACTGCTCCTTCAAGGAATAACTTTGACCATATCATTCTCTGACTGATCATGCAGTAGCCAATCAATGACAAAAAACTAAGAGAGACTGCCCTGACTGCCCTGACTGCCCTGACTGCCCTGACTGCCCTGCCCTGCGGCTATAAGTGTCATCAATATCTGAGTTGATCCATTTCTCACAGCATCCTGATTTCATTCCAAGCTCCTATCTGTGCTCCTTCTCAAGCTCCTTTCAGGAAGAACCTTTCTCTATGCTCAGTTCTGAGCTAGGAGTCTGTATCCAGAGCCTCAGTGCCACCAAATCTTCCTTCACTGGTCTGGGCTGGCCTTTCCATGGCAGCCCTAACAATTTGCTCTTTGTCTTATGAGATTCCATGTTTATTTGGAACTCGTCCTTTCTGGCAGCTGAGTACTTGCCTTGGCTTGTTATCTAGGACTGTTCAATCCCTCTCTGAGACTCACTGGTCCTGAGCTGCTGCTGATGGTTCTGGGGTCACACACCCTTGGGACAGATTTCTTTGATGTTCACTCTTTGTCCTGCATAGTGTTGCCTGCTCTGGATTCCTGACTGATGAGGCCTGCACATTCACCTTGACACTGTATGTCTGGGAACTGGATTTCATAAAGCCACCTAGATTCTGAAAGCACTGCTGTTAGGATCATATTCTTTAGATAGTACATTCTCCATAATTGCTGGGCTTTTTAGCACACACACCTGGTCGTATTCCCGAGAATTTACGTCCTGTCTTCAGTGTGTTAGAGATCCAATCTCTTCTCCTAGCTTATCCAGTCTTTCCAGTGCTTTTGTAATTAATAGGACTAGGTTCAAATGACTCTAGAGTTAGAACGCTCTCTTCCAACACAGAAAAACTGCTTGTTCTGCTTTAATTAGTCCTGTACTTTCCTACCTCCAAGGCTTTGATCATCCCCAGAACAGACCAAGCACCCGAATTTCCAGTTGCTTGTCTCCAACTCATTGTTTAGGCATCAAGTGAAATGCCTTCTCTTTGCTAACAGAGCTCTAAATTCTCTTCCTTCGAGTGTGACCCTGGCTACTGAGAACACGGAAAGCCGTCTGTGCGAGATGTTGTCTCCCCGCTTTCCCTGTAATGATGCCTGTTTCTTAAAAGGAGGTTCTGCATTCATTGTATTTCTGTACATATGCACTCTTAAACTCTGCCCAAATGAGTATTCTGAAAGAAAGTAAAGCCCAAGCAAACAAAATAGACTACTTGCCTTGTCTCCAGACACACCGATTATCCTTGTCAAGTAGTATATACAGCTGCTGGCAGGTGGACCGAAGGGACCCTGCAGTGTGCTCCATCAATTGATAAAGGGCTTCGTTGAGTCCTTGACCCAAAAAGATCACTGTGGATATCCAAGTGGCTTCACCAGCCACTTCACACAGATCATCACCCAGGAGTGCCTGCTTTAACATTTGGTTTTGTCTCCAAATCTGCTTCAATATTTGACCTAATTTACATGATCCTATGTCTTCTGTATCCATTTCTAAACTCCAAATAATAATAATAATAATAATAATAATAATAATGTATCTGTCTCCTGCCAACAAAGCTTCAAGATTTAGCACATTAAAGCTTGGCAATAGTTATTTCTCCTAACGTCTCAGAGATGATCCAAGTCAGCTAGCTTGACATTACCCTGCAACTTGAATTTATTCAGCTTCTTGTTGACCAGTGAAAAGTTACTAGGTGACCAGGAGAAGGGCGTTCCTGAACCCTGAGTGCTACTATGTACCTAATAGATTAATCCCAGGGACAGTGTCAGCCTGCATAATGATATGTCCAGGTGAGTTTACAAATTCAAAATGCTACAACCCCCCCACATGTTCTTTAAATTTTGCAGTAAGAAAATATGGATCCCAGGTAGAAGATGAACTTAATTGATGAAACTAAACTATTTTTTCTATTTTAATACAATACTACTAATAAAGATCCTGTGTACATACCTATAACTATCAATGAAAAAATACAGTTTGCTTTAAAATAATTGGGGAGTTCAGAAATAAGGCTGAGATACATAAGATTGGCTATAAAAATAAGTTTTTGTTGGAACTGGATATAGTTACATGTTTGTTTTTTCACTTACATACAAATAAAGTAAAAAGTAAGGATTTAAAGTTAAAATAAAGAGTTAAAAGGGGTCCAGGGATGGTGGTTTCTGCGTCTCATGTCTCACAGCATTTGGGAGTTAGAGGCAGGTAGGTGATTGTTTCATGCAGAAGACCAGTCAGAGCTGCAGAGTGAGAGCCAGTCACAAGCAACCACAGCAACAGTTCAAAGAAAAAGTCCGTCTACTGGCGGGTAGCCCAATACCATTATTTAGTAAGTATAATTACTGCTTTCTTACATGTAAGTATACACAGAGAATGCAATAGGAACTTGCCCTCAGTTCTGCTCTTTGATAATTTCTCTCTGATTGAGTCTACTTCTTCGCTACAAAAAGAGAGCAAACCTGAAGAGTGGCTTCCTCTGGGCTCGCAGGAATGTTTACGCCACTATAATTAAAATTCAGATGTAGCATGTTCTCACCGTGTTGCTTTCACCGTGGGCACAATTTACATGGGATCATGGCAATGCAGAGCTTGACACAGGACAGCCCAAAGCACACCAAAGAATAGACTCTTCCTTCTCCTCCAACTTCCGTTTTGCTAAGAAGAGAGAACACTGCAGAGGGAGAAGGAGCTGTACATTCACAAACAACTCCTACTCCCCAGAGAACCTGGAAGGAAATAAGATCTTTCCCAAAGGGAGCTAGAATGCTTCCCACCCACCAGCGGCTTCATCCCTTCATCTTCAGCACCGAGGTTCTTGGGGCTTCACTCAAGACGTGTAACCACTGGGGAAAACAACCCAGGGAACATAAAGGTAGAGTGAAAGCACAAACCTGCAGCTTGCCCAGAGTTCTCTTGTTCATAGACTCCAAAGGACAAGGGAAAGAGTACAAGAGAGCAGAGGGCCTTTTCAGGTACCTAATAACTGCTGGGAGACAGAGAAATTGCCCCTCTCCCTTAAGGATGAGCCCCTAATTGGCTATCCACTGCCAAATTGTCAACACTGAAATCATATACATACAGGCAACACTAAATGGACTCAGCAAGTTGTGTTTATATATTTATGTGTTTATGAGTGTACACACACATTCACACAAATGACAACAATAACTTGGGTTAAGTCCTGAAGTATATATATAATTTCCCAGATCATATACAAACGGCTTTTATTCAAGACTGATTCTGAAATATTTCTCTAGTATGTACTGTGAACCCTGATTTCTGGCCTTTCTTGCGTGGCAGGTGCTTGAGTAAATGAGTACAATATAGCTTAGATTGTTGAGAGCTAGCACCAAATCATGAGAAGTAACTAATGGATACATTCAGGTTAGGAACCTAAGGATAAGCCGTCTATAGATGACAGGCTGAACAATTTTATGTTAGAAATTATGTGATCAAAGGTATGGATATGAGAAATTGCATAGCCGGGTGACTGCAGAAAGGTATGGCTTTAGGGAAAAGCACAGTTCATAAGTCAGGAGGAATGGGGGAGGTTATATTTAATAACTGTGGCAAGATACATTGGTTGTGTGGATGGAAGGGAGAGGTTACATATTTTGACCCAGTAGCAAGAATGATAAAATCTGTGCTTCATGCCGCATATGGCACTGATATCAGAGTTTTAATTGTTGGGTCTACATTAAAGCAATGACAGCACAAGCAACAAAAGTAGATGTCTGGAAAGCAGATTGGATTTAGAATAGAATATATAGATTTTACTAAACCATCAGCTAGACTGAAAGAAATTAAAAGCATTGGATATACATCTATTTATATATCGGTCACTGATAAAAGTACCATTTTTGGCAATACAATATAACTAAATCATTTCACCTATGCCTTGGCCTAGTTGGTAAATGCATTAAGAAATGTAGGAGACACTTTAGGTTTGGTGGGATGGAATTCAATTGATTTTTTATTTGTATATTTCAAGTTAACAGAGCAATTATTGAGACTATATTAGAAACATAGTGGACAGGTCAGAATAATGCTGGGAAATGTGTGAGCATTTGCTGTAAACACGAGGTAAATAAATCTCCTGCAGTAGAAGACAATGAAGAACTTACACAAGGCATATTTTAAATGTTGAATGAAACAATACTAAATGCAAGATCACTCTGTCTGTTTAGGGTTATTTCCTTTTAGATATATGGGAAACTCTTTCAGACAGGATAAGAAGAAACACCCACTTGGACTTTAGTTTTGTGCAGGGTGATAAATATGGATCTGTTTTCATTTTTCTGCATGTGGACATCCAGTTGGTCCAGCACCATTTGTTGAAGATGCTGTCTTTTTTCCATTGAATGGATTTGGCTTCTTTGTCAAATATTGAGTATTCATAGGTGTGTGGGTTTATATCTGGGTCTTCTATTCGGTTCCATTGATTCTCCTTTCTGTTTCTATGCCAATATCATGCAGTTTTTATTACTGTTGCCCTGTAGTACAGCTTGAGATCAGGAATGGAGATACCTCCAGATGATCTGTTGTTGTACAAGATCGTTTTGGAGATTTGATCATTATTTTCTATAGGAAAGTTTTTTATTAATAACATGGTACATGCCATCTATTATCTAATTTAGAATTGCATATAAGAAGTTTTCTTCTTTATC